CTGTTAGGATTTCTGGGAGTTGAAGGCCAAACATCTGGGGACCCACAGGTTGAGAACCACTAATATAGATCTGGCCCAACTTACATGTCCGAACGCATCTCCCCTTATGAACCATCTAGGACCTTAAGATCATCTGGGGAGGCCCTGATTTCATTACCGCCTTTGTCACAAGTACGTTTGGCGGGGACGAGAGACAGGGCCTTCTCAGTGGTGGCCCCTTATCTATGGAACGCCCTCCCTAGGGATATTAGATTGACCCCCCTGCCTTTTAACATTCCGGAAAAAAGTTAAGACATGGCTTTTTGAGCAAGCATTTGCAAATGCAGAGTAACTGACATAGGAAAGTGGAACGACTACAGGATGGGAGGAGCCCCCGGTGGCGCAGTGGGTTAAAGCACTGAGCTGCTGAGCTTGTTGATTGAAAGGTCGCAGGTTCGATTCCGGGGAGCGGCATGAGCTTCCGCTGTCAGCCCTAGCTTCTGCCAACCTAGCAGTTCGAAAACATGCAAATGTGAGTAGATCAATAGGTACCGCTCTGGCGGGAAGGTAACGGCGCTCCATGCAGTCATGCCGGCCACATGACCTTGGAGGTGTCTACGGACAACGCTGGCTCTTCGGCTTAGAAATGGAGATGAGCACCACACCCCAGAGTCAGACATGACTGGACTTAATGTCAGGGGACTACCTACCTACCTACCTACAGGATGGGACCAGACAATGTTTTTATCAAGGAGACACTATGGATTTATGTTTTATTGATTTTGTTATGGTTTTTATTATATGTTAATGTTTTTAATTGTATTTATGGTATTGTGGATATTGAATTTTGTCCTGTAAACCACCTGTGGGCTGAGAAAGGCGGTATACAAATACAGCAAATAAGTAAATAAATAAATACTGCCTTGTGCTGGCAGGATTGCTGAATGAAAGGTCGGCAGTTTGAATCCAGGGAGAGGGGTGAGCTCCCATCTGTCAGCTCCAGCTTCTCATGCGGGGACAGAAGCCTCTCACAGGATGGTAAAACATTCGGGTGTCCCCAGGGCAATGTCCTTGCAGACAGCCAATTCTCTCACACCAGAAGTGATTTGCCGTTTCTCAAGTTGCTTCTGACATTAAAAAAACTGGATATTTATAAACCTTTGATATTGTTTGGTTTTCTGCATTTTAAAACAGTAGATAAACCTTGCTTAAGATTAACCTTGCCATTATTTTCACAGCCTGGTGCTGTGATGTATATCCAGTATCCGATCCAGTGTGACTGGTTACAACAGGCAGTTGCTCATTTCTGATTTTAAATCACAGCTATTTTGAACAATATGAGAATATTACCCACTGGAAGAATACAAACACAGTAGAAGCCATTGGAGTAGAGACTGGATATGTAAAGCCAGCAGTTCACATACATGATTTAAGGCTCTGCACAAAAAACACAGATAAATTTGGTCCCATAAAACTTGGGTGGGCAGAGAAGAGCATTTTAAAATTTAATCATATTCTGTTATAGTTACGCAAGGAGGATTACATTCATAGTATATGATGAAAAGGCAGAGCTTCATCATCATATCCATAGATATAACAATGATCGATATCAATTCGTTGTGCAAGAATGACAATGCAAAGTTCATTAGAAAAAAAAAGCCAGGAACTGTAGACCTGTTTCGGATGTCAGATTCAATCTGCTATTTTCCTGGTTCAGGAAAACTGAATTGTGACACATTCATTACTCAGTAGAGTCTCAGGGGTGCATATTTTAAAACATATGATGCAGATCAGAGCTTGGAATAGTTACTTTAAAAACAGCTTCTGGGATTTTGCAGCCAGCATCGCTACAGGCTTGGTTCAATTGCAGGACAAAAAGTAGCCATTTCAAGCACTGGTTCTGACCAATGCTTGTTCTATATTCAATCTCCAATTATCCACCCTGCAAACCCATAGAACTGGGATATGGAGTTGGAACACATACCAGGACAGCGCCAAATTATATCTTACAGATAACTGAAAAATTGTAATGTGGTAGAGCCTGCTTCAAGATCACACGCCTTTTCTTCGCCAAAAGCAACGTGTTGATCCTTGTTAGAAAGTAATCTAGAAGATTCATAGCAGATATCTATTTCTTAGGAGCCCCCAGTGGCGCAGTGGGTTAAAGCACTGAACTGCTGAGCTTGTTGATCGAAAGGTCGCAGGTTTGATTCCGGGGAGCGGCGTGAGCTTCCGCTGTCAGCCCTAGCTTCTGCCAACCTAGCAGTTCGAAAACATGCAAATGTGAGTAGATAAATAGGTACCGCTCCGGCGGGAAGGTAACGGCGCTCCATGCAGTCATGCTGGCCACATGACCTTGGAGGTGTCTACGGACAACGCTGGCTCTTCGGCTTAGAAATGGAGATGAGCACCACACCCCAGAGTCAGACATGACTGGACTTAATGTCAGGGGACTACCTTTACCTTTTATCTATTTCTTATTTAGGAAGAAAAGAGGGGGGAAAATATTATGAATGTCATTTTGGCCCACTCTATGGTGTATGCTGCAAGCCCATGGTTCACAGTTGAGTTTTTACTGGGAAGAATGGTTCAAAATTTATCAGAGTGGAAAAACAGCACCCTGATTACCCCAAATCAGGGTTTTCTGTTGTTGTTGTGGTTGTTGTTGTATGTGTCTTGCCACTGATTCTGACTTATAACAACCCTATTATAGAGTTTTTCTTGTTCAAAGGGAATTTACTTTTGCCTTCCTCTGGGCCTTAGAGTGTGTGACTCACCCAAGGTCATCCAGTAGGCTAAACCCAGCACTTCAAACTTTGGCTGATACCAAATGAGAGACTCCCTCCTGGGCACACAGAAAACTGAGCAACTTGGAAGGCACGGAACAGACTGCACTCTGGCACCACGAGATGCAGAGCCAACCTTAAGAAATGGGGCTACAAAGTGGAGTCCATGACATGCGAGTGTGGAGAAGAGCATGCTGCAATGCAACCTGAGCCGTGCCACATGCACAATGGAGGACCTTCTTGCAGCAACACCAGAGGCACTCCAAGTGGCCAGCTACTGGTCAAAGGGCATTTAATAGAATACCAAATCTGCAAACGTTGTGTTTTGCTTGTTTGTTTGTTTTTTAATGCAATACAACCGTTTTGGTTTGCTTCTGACACGATAAATAAAAGAGAATTTGTTGGCTTGAATTGAGACAGTCGTCACGTCAGCATGTATCTTAAAATGTAAGTGGTCACCAGACTTGTACTGTGGAACAATTGTGAGTTAATTTACTCCACTACCAAGATTTGAAAGATTTTTTTTGTCTTCATAGCTGAAATCAAACATACTTTCAAACAATTTTCTTCACTGCTCCCATTCTTTCACTTTGTCAGATGAAAATAGAAGTAGTGTAAACTTTGATTTTTGTTTTTACTGTCTTCAGATTTTGTTGCCTTTTGTTTAATTTAATCCCATTCTGTTATTTAATTGTTACTGCAATATTAACTACTGTATTTGACTATGTTTAATAACTTTGTTCTTTCAGGGCTAGATAAATAAAATATTGCTATTGCTTGGAAAGAGGAAAAATGAAAAATTGTTTGACCACCCCTTATCCAAAATCCCAAAATCAGAAATATTCTAAAATAATCTGCTTGGGTAGCTGAGAGAGTTGCATCTTTTTCTTTGTTTCATGCACAAAATTATTAAAAACACTATATAAAATTAGCTTTAAGGTATGTGTACAAGGTGTAGATGAAGCATAGATGAATTTCTGGTGTGGCCTCAAGTCGCATCTCCAAGATATCTCATTATGTACATGTATGCAAACATAGATATTTCAAAATCAAAACAAACAAACAAACAAACATGAAACCACCATAATATAAAATGCTGTATTTACTTCTGTCTAATGCTCACTTTTTTTTTTTTTTGGCTAAATTACATTACCAGAATTGAGGTGAGAATTAGATCTGATGGTTTGTTGGAATCGCACACATAAACCATCTAAGTAAAAAGACCCAGAAAATCCTGGAACCCTGAGGGCCGGACATAAGAGATGAAGGGGGGCTAAGAGTTTGTTCCCTCCACTGGCAGCAGCCAGGAGGAGTGCCGGACTAGAGACTTAGTTGCTCCTGCTACTTAGTTGTGGATCCTGCCTCTTGGGAGGCCCTTGTTGTCTTTTGCTCACCTCACCAGGCTCTCAGTCCCATGTGATTCCCAACTGGCTCATTCACAAGGCCTTCAAGCCCCACCTACCCACCCCCAGTTGTGAAGGCTTCATGAATTAGGCTAGTTGGGATTGCGTGAGGCTGGAGAGCTTGCCAGCTTTGGTCTGACAGAGGACCTTGGCTTCCCAAATGGCCTCATTTATGTTTCCTGCCTCCCAGGAATGCTATGCCTGCGCTGTTGGGCACATTACATTCAAGGGCAATCCATTTTTGTAATGTGCACCTTCAAAATTAAGGTGTGCATTACATTCAATGGCACACGATCCTCAAGTTAATACGGAACTTCTGGTCCCAAGCATTTTGGATAAGGGATACTCAACCTTTAATGCTTCACAGATAAAAGGGGGGAAAATACCTACAATAAATTTCCGATATATGTATCTTAAAGATGTCATAAGCATAAAACACAGTGATAAGAACTTTTTTTTTTTTTTTTTTGCGTTTCACATTAGGTCCCATCTAAGCAAACATCTCGCATGCTTTGGAGGCACTTAGAATTAGAGAATGATAGATTTGGAAGAGACCACACAGAACATTCAGTCTAACAATAGAATTCTGGTTTTGAAATAAAATGGTGCATAATCTACAAGAAAACACATTTAAATTATGTAGTGTTTTAAGGTATTTGAAAATTCACATTTGCAAATAAAGGAAGCCTATACTTCAGAAGGTTAAAAAGCAGATATTGGAGGAGGGGTGGGTTGCATATGTGTTTAAATATGGATCATGCAGAGATGGCTATTGGAGAACAGCTGATGCTGGGCAGGATATCTAATTTATATACTTCATTCAAATGCCATTTCTCCTATCTATTCCAGGTAGGCCTGTATTTGTGAGTGCTTTGCCATTTGTGCTCATGCTTTGCCCCATGTCCTTTGCAACCTTCTTGCTTGAGCTTTTCTGCTAGTCATTAAAAGTGTCCTTTTGAATCTAAAATCATTTTAAAGTGCATAAAAGCCAGTTCAACAGACAGCAACACAATGCTAACCTAGAGTTATCACTGGTTATGTCTCTTGGTTTTGTAATTTGCCTCATTGTGCAGATAACATGAAGTTGGGTTTTTTTATAACCCCTGAAGGAAGCCGTTATCCATCTCTCTGTTGATCAGATCCGTAGACTGAGGCTTCAGGAGTTCCTTATGAGAAAGGAAAGTATTATTTGTATAGTGCAAAAAGGCAGAGTGGTTTTCAAACGTAAGCTGTGTAAGGCTCAGTGTGTACCAAAACATCTACTGGCAAAAGGCCACTAGTCCAATCAACAACCACCCATGCATCCAAGGCTAAACATACAAAGAACCAGCAGTGCCATTAAATACACAATAGATAATGAAATGTTTCTATTTAGCAGGGGCAGAAGCCTCACCTCCTTGGAGACTTTTGTCCAGATTTCCTAGATGGATAGTTCCTGCTCTTCAACTTGTTCTCCCACTGCTTGCATGGCTTCTTGCACATAAACAATTAGTTCAGAAGCCTCGCCACCCTGCGTGTAGACTGTGACTGTTCCAAGTCCCTCCATGTCATCCGAAGAGACGACCAAATGATGTTCTTCAGTCAACTCAACTGATGCCTGCTGCAGAGATTCCTGAATCATCACTGTGTGGCTCGTAGGCTGTTCCTCTTCTGTTACCTGAAAGGACATTGTGAAAGATACAAAGGAATCAGCAGGGCAGGTCTGCATTCTCATTCTTCAGTTGATGTGAAGAATGAGACCTCATGGAAGTACCCTCATATTTCATGAATTAATGGTACTTTAAAAGTCTGGTACTAGAGAGCTTTAGTCAACTCTGCCTATGCAACTGTTGATTCAATGAGCCAGAGACAGTCATGTAACAGAACTTGACAGGTATCAGACAAGTCATATAAACTGTTGCTGTTGTTGTTGTTATTATATGATTATGATGATGATTATTATTTTTATTATTATGGTGATGAAATGTACTGGAAAGCCACTGCACACAGCTGTTGAAGTGCATTGGTTTGGTGGATCTCCAGCTGGTTTAAGACACAAGATCTAATACATATATAGTCAGAATCAAGCTTCAAGGATAACTCCAAGATGTTTGTGATTGCCCCCCAGGTTTCTTTGTCTGACTCTACATACTAAAGCATGGTAAAGTTTTCTCCTGTATGACTCCCAAGGCGAACACTGCTTGCCCCAGAGGACCAGCTAATTGTAAGATCATTGTCCAGATTCTGCCTCACGGATACATAATACAAATTCCTTCATGCAGAGTTATGTTTTGATTGTGCTAGGCAACTCTCTGTGTTGAAATGGTATCTTGAGCCATGAAAACAAGACCTCAAATGAGCAACTGAAGGCACAATCAAATGTGCGTGGTCATCCGTGTGCAATAGCACTGAACTGCATTTTGTACACCTCAAATATGTTCAACCACTTCTGCAGATAAACTTATACACATTCAAGACATTAACAGGATTCCAGCTTTTATTTAATCTAAAATACAAGTATATGTCAGTGAACAAAATAGATAGGTTCCTGGATTTTATGTCCTTAACAGAACCTTTGGTGCTAGACGCTAAAATATAACAAAAATAGGGTTAGGTCCTGGCAGCAGCTGCCGTTTGGCTAGCCAACTGTAAACAGGCACACAATCATGAAAGGATTAGCTAGAGTAGAATCCCATCCACATTCTTTCCTTGCTCAAGCTTTAGTAATAATACTAATAATACTCTAATTATATGACTTCAAAAGAATGTTTCCTCAGCCCTCCCAATGTTGATGCTGCTAAAAAGCTAAACAGGGGTCAAGAAGAAAAGGCATTGTCTGATAACAAAACCTTTGCCACAAGGCTTTGTTATCACAAACATGGAATTATTATTTATCTGATATAAAAATTAACTTTTCCTCTCAATGCCTTAGTTCTTGATTTAAATAAAAAATGTCAGGTTTTACAATGTATTGTAATGTAATATAGCTGAGTCATGCACTGCTAATAGGCTTCTATTGGAAATGCTGAGTCATGTATTAACTGTATATAGGGAATCATTTGGGGAATGTGTTCTGGCCTAGTCCAGGTGATTGTGAATGATGTAATCCTGGGTCTGAGTTAAGTTAATGAGTTGGGAACCAATGAGTGATTGCTATGTGTAAATGAATTGTATATAAGGAAGTCATGTACAGTGTATTCTCTCTCCTTGTGCTGTTGTTCTTCGAAGGCTCTATGTAATTGATTAAAAGAACCTGTCTGCTAAGACAAGATATAACCGTGTGCTGTGGTAAGTTTGTAGTGTCATCTAGATTGGAGGGGAAAACAATAGTAAAACTGCCAATGGCTGGGCATGTGCTCAAGTGTCTGTAAAAGAGTTCCAGAGTGACTGCAGTTTGTGGGAGCAGTTGACTGAAAATACTGTGCAGGAAGAAGCTACTGGAAAGCGCTGAAGTTGTGTAACTGATCTGCTGCTGAATTGTGAAATTAATCTCAACAAAAAAACAACACAGGATATTTTAGACCCTTTCCCTTTTTAGTCATGGCTCTTAGCTCCCCCAAAATATAGCTTGCTGAGCTCCGATCAGCTGAGCCCCCATCAGGTAAATAATGGAGATATCATATAGCCCAAGGCTTCCTTCATTTGCAGCAAGCTTGTTCCCTGAAATAGTAAGTGATGAAGCATGAAAAAGGGCAAGGACGAACAGAAAGGATGAGGGTTATCATTTAAGGTGAGGAGAGAGAAAAGAAAAAAATACAATTGTTTCGTGCTAAAAGGTTTGTTGCATGACACTCCTGTCCTTAACAGAAGGCCAGTTTATTTGCACATTGATCAATACATGCCCAGCTTTGATGCTTAATTGATTTAGCTTTGCTTCTTCGTTGGCTTGGAGTATGAATATATTTTATTCGGCTTTGGCATCTATTTAATTAAGTCTGAAGGAGAGAAAAGCACACAGGACACTGGAGCTCTAGAAAGACGTAATACGACATGTCACAGTGAGAGACAGTAACAGAAAAGCCGGGCCGAGAAAGATGCTCCATTTAACAGGCACACCCTTCACGCTGCATCAGCTCACTTTGCATTCCTTTTTTCCTTAGAACGTGAAAGAGCGTGGAGTTGACGGCTTACGGGGTCATAAGTTAAAGCCCCGATAAAATACCCACATCTGTAGCAAAGACGGATGCAGGAAGGTTGCAACAGGCTAGCTTTGAAGAATCACATTTCTCTCCCTCTCCCAACTACTTTATGAATCTATTTATTTATTCATTTAGGAACATAAGAAAAGGGCCTCTTCTGTGTCACCCTATCCACATTGGTCAGATTACAACTGAAAGGCTACAACTTCCCAAATCCCATTAATCGTGCTACCTGGGACACTAAAAGTGCACACTTTGGTCAGTTATGTGCCTTAAAAATACTCAGCATGAAAGCAAGAGGCATCTCCCATGCTGTTGTTCACATATGGCCTTCAAACTCAAAAGGACCTCTGAGGATGCTTGCCATAGGTGCAGGTGAAACGTCAGGGGAGAATGCCTCTAGACCATGGCCACAGAGCCCAAAAAATAACAACCCAGTGATTCCGGCCATGAAAGCCTTCGACAATACATTCAAGATGGTGTATTATGCTGGCATAACCTATGGTTACAAGTGTAAAATTTCTTGAAAATTTAAGTCATGGAGGAGAGAGGGGTCAGGCTTAGCATAGCAGGCTAAACCGGGGTGCTGCAGAAAATGCCTGCCAACTGAATGCTCAGGAGTTCGAGCCTGGGTTGGGGTGAGCACCTGCCGTTAGCCCCAGCTCACCTCCCTATTTAGCAGGCCGCAAGCAGAAATGTGAGTAGATAAATTATATAAATAGGTACCACTTTTAGTGAGGAAGTAATAAAGACAGTGATCGGAGGAAAGCTCCTCAGCATGGAAGATGGAGTGACAGTACCCCCCAGTGGCCAGCTTCGAGCACAGCCTCCAAGAGGCTGGAAATAAGATGGGGAAAACTTCTTTTCCCTCTGTCTGTCCTTGTTAATTGTATAATAGGCATTGAATGTTTGCTGTATGTATGTTCTGTAAGCCACTCTGAGTCCCCTTTGGGGTGAGAAGGGCGGGGTATAAATACTGTAAATAAATAATTTTATTTGTTGTTCAACCCTGCCCCAACCCATAGACCCTCCTGTGGCACCATTTTGAAAAAGCTACATCAGCTTTTTAAAAGTTGGGTGTTTACTGTTATGTTGGGCTGGTAGCACAGCTGGTTAATTGCTAGCAGCAATAAACCGCTGCTGACCGAAAGGTGGCAAGTTCACAGTCCGAGTCAGGGTTGAGCTCCCGACTGTTAAATAGCCCAGCTTACTGTTCACTTAAGCAGCTGTGCTGTGAGTAATTAGGGACCGCTTAGAGCAGGGAGGTTAATTTATGACACCATGTTCTGCCCAGAGTCCCCTTCAGGGTTAGATGGGTGAAATATAAATATTGTAAATAAATGAATAACTATGTCCTACTTGGATTAAATTCATCTTGGGGTATGTGGTGTGAAGAATAAAACTTTGGTGAGGGCGTTGGGAATGCTAGATCTGGTGAAGAAAAGATTGAGGAATAACATGATAGCATTCTTTAAGTATTTCAAGGACTGTCGCGCAGAAAAAAGGGCAGATTGCTTCTTTGCTGCTCTAGATCACAAGAGCAAGCCTAATGGTTTTAAGTTGCACCAGGGTAGATACTGATTGAATATTTGGAGGAACTTCATGCTAAAAGTAGTTCAGTGATAGAAACAAGACTCTAGAGTAGAGGTTTCCATAAACTTCATGCTGGTGACACACTTTTTAGATATGCATCATATTTGTGATGTAGTAATGAAGTTTTACTACCAAACTGAATGTTAAACAACCCCTTTAGATATGGGCACATACAAAAATTGTATTAAGGAAATGTATGGGCACACAATATATCTTGTGAAAACTTTTTATTTACATTTTAGAAAATATATCATGTATTACTTATTTCAAGTAGACTCAGAGGTTCCTAGTTATTCTCATGCGACACACCTACACACCACAGCTGACACACTAATGTATCATGGCACACAGTTTGGAAAGCTCTGATCTAGAGAGATAGAATCATAGAATCAAAGAGTTGGAAGAGACCTCATGGGCCATCCAGTCCAACCCCCTGCCAAGAAGCACGAATATTGCATTCAAATCCCCCCTGACAGATGGCCATCCAGCCTCTGTTTAAAAGCTAGCCTCCACCATACTCCGGGGCAGAGAGTTCCACTGCTGAACATCTGTCACAGTCAGGAATCCTCTCTTGTAGTTTGAAGCCATTGTTCCGCGTCCTAGTCTCCAAGGAAAACAAGCTTGCTCCCTCCTCCCTGTGGCTTCCTCTCACATATTTATACATGGCTATCATATCTCCTCTCAGCCTTCTCTTCTTCAGGCTAAACATGCCCAGCTCCTTAAGCCGCTCCTCATAGGGCTTGTTCTCCAGACCCTTGATCATTTGAGTCGCCCTCCTCTGAACACATTCCAGCTTGTCAATATCTCTCTTGAATTGTGGTGCCCAGAATTGGACACAATATTCCAGGTGTGGTCTAACAAAGCGGAATAGAGGGGTAGCATTACTTCCCTAGATATAGACACTATGCTCCTATTGATGCAGGTCAAAATCCCATTGGGGTTTTTT